GACATTCACATCCATTGACTGTGATCCTGTGTAAAAGGAGAGATATACAGAGCCACAGTCTTCAAAGCTCAGAATGAAATGGGATGATACAAGCCAGTTCTTTCCAAGTAGAAAAGAGGCCCAGATGGGGCTGAGAGATTTTCTCATTAGTCTCTCTGGGGGAGACTGAGCAAGGAGAGAGTTTAGCCTCTCTCTCAGCACCAGCGTCGCATGCTGGACCGTGACATCTCTCATCAACATTAAGGCACCATTCTTCTGAAAGGGAAATCCTCTAGAATGTCAAACAAAAGGTGTTGTCTGGAATAGAGATGTCTGTTGCTACAAAAATATTCAACTCCCGTCACTGAACTAGGGTAATAAATTGCTTTACCTTTTGTATTCTGGTGCATTGAAACATTATCTTTTATGATCATAGGTGTTGCTTCGTTATTTAAAGCATACTTGTTATTGCAGGAAAGACAAGCTCACATTTGATTTATAATGGGACAATTGTGCTTTGAGTTAAATGAAAGTTCAAAGGAAAATGAATTCTAAATAAGAATAATTGAAGAGATTCAAGGTTCATTTGAGTTTATATTCATCAAAGCAATTGTCTCCAGAAGTCCTCTTATTTAAAGCAACAGGACAGATCATAACTTATAAACTTCTCCTTTCTAACACCACTTAATTCTATATATCATAATCAGAAACGTTAAGCCTCAGCAGTAATTTATACAAAACGTATTGTTACAGAGTTATAAATGTCATTAAGTGGTAGACTTATGCCTCAGTGTCATGCAAGTTGAAGCTTGGATTTAAAAGAATTACCCATAATGCAAGATTTCTATAAAAACATTCTTGGTACTTTTCTTTCCAGGGTGGCCTCATATTAAAGTTGAGGTTCATTTTACACCTGTTCTCTGCTCTGGGAAGTGCAACCTTCATTTCTCCTCCTGTTTTTAAAGTCACCTTCTTAATTCTGGTAGAACATAACTCAAACAACTGGAAACGTTAGGAGTGGATTTACAGTCCCTCTGGCTGCTCTCTGTCTGGGACGGAAAGGAGAGCAGAGCTGGAGGGAACCTTTCCTGCCATCAAGGGACATCTAGAGAGAAGAGGCGATTAATCGTAACGTGCCAACTAGTTTGATTATTCTGGGGCTTGCGATGGAATCTGTGGGTTGTTCAGGCCCCTGGTTTACTAATTTGATGTTTCATCATTCAGTGGCATCTCTGACCAGCGAGGCCTGCTGTGACAGGTCTTTAAGGATGTGGTAGCCAAGGAACTGTCCTGTTTAGGCCACCTGCATTGTGCAAATACAGAGAAGTATATCATCTTTATTTATCTCTATATCTCTATATCAGTATAGTCTATATGCCTATAGATCATCTCTAGCCACATCATTTACAGCATATATATCCATTTCTATATCTACACCATCAATATCTGTATCATCTATACATATACCTCTTTAATCTCTACAACAATGCCTAGGAGGAAGTTATTATGGTAATGTGTAAAAATAAAACGACAAAATCTCAGTTCAGCGAGTTAACCTCTCAGATCTTTGTTGAGTGCATCTTGCTCGCCCCACCCTGAGATCAAATGGGGAAATGAGAGAGTTGTGCTGTGGTCCCAGCCCTTACTGAGCTTACTGTGCGGAGACTTGTTCCATACACAGAGCACAAAATTATACATGTGTTCTCAACAAAAATTGTAAGGGATTATGAGGTTCAAGATTCATAAACAGGGGACGTGCTCTTTTTGTGGGGTCAGCCAGAGGCGGCATCTCCCAGGGCCTAACCTCTGAGCAGGCAATTAAAGGACAGAGAAGTTGTTGCAGGTTGTACACATAATCAGGCAGAATTGAGATTCAAACACAGGCCTGCCGGAGTCGGGTCCTGTTCATGTTGCCCCACCATACACATCTGAAGCTCTGACTCTCGATCTGGGGCAGTGGACTGAGTGTGGGTGTGAGCTGCTGATGCTGAGCCTCGTGGCTTGTCTGCAGGGATACTCGCGCACGAAGCCGCCTGTCTGCACAGTCCTCTCACTTTCTGCGTGGTTTTGTCTAGATTGCACTGGGGAGCTGTACGGTGTCCATTGGTTCTAACTGAGGGAGAAACCAACTCCAAACACCTGGGAGAGGCTAAGTAACGGGCTGTGGCCGTCGAGGCCAGAGCTCAGAAACCTCGCCAGAGCCTCTGCACAGCTCCCCTCCCGGTCCAGCCTCCTCCCCACTGCCCCTGCTTCCTGCTGCCTACTCAAGTCTAAGGCTGTCTTGGAGATTGGCAGCCTGCCCTCAGAACTCCCTGACCTACCAGGAACCACAGCTAGGAGTCCTGTTAGCAGCCTTAGGAGGGAGGTTGGAGTCCGTCCAGAACATTCCTCGTATTTCCACCTAGTGGCTGTGTACCGGATGAGGTGCCCTGCTGGACATGGCGGCTACCCAGGGCCGAACCTTCCGCCAGGCACAGGGGTGGGTTGGCATGGCTTGGTATAGAAGCTAGGGATGTGTTGCTTTCCTGCTCTGTCTGCTGGTAGCAAGGCAGGGGTTTACTAACGGCACAGAGGCGTTGATGACTCTTTAAAGGCACTCTCCTACCCACTCCAAAACCAAGCCCCAACCCGGGTATTTCTGCCATCCGTCATTCACTGTGTGCATCAAGCAGCATGCCTCTGCCTCCGTGCTCTTGTTAAAATGCAAGCGTACCGAGGAGAAGGTGAGCTTTAAGTGCTGGCCACCTTGACGTGAAAGAGTTTATTGTATCTCTTTTCTGAGGGCTATGGGCATCTCGTGGAACAGATTGCTGAAGTAGAAAATAGGAGCAGCCACTTTCCTTGATTCCCGTTCTCCAGCATCCTCTTTGCCAAAAGCAACAGTATGTTATAGACGCTAGGGGGCGGAAGTAGGCCAGCAATGGTGCCCGTGACCTGTTAACAGTTCTGGGAAACAAAGTTAGCATTATCAATGCTTTCTTTTTCTTAAGAATGGGAATTCTCTGAGATAGTATGGGTGTGAGCATTGGCCGCTACGGTACAATGAAGAAATATCCAGAAAGTGACATGGAAAGCAGATCCCCAAGAGATTCCATCAATGGGCTTCCACATTGTTCTCTACTGACTTTATTATGACAGTTTATTAAATGTTTCTGAGAGCTAAAGTTCAAATGAGAACAGTGGAAAGGAACTGGCTTCTCAGATGTCTAGTCGTGCCCTGATTTCCCCAAAGCCGGTGTGCCAAGTATACATTTACTCATTATAGAGAATAAACCCACGTGAGGAAAAGAGAAAAAGAAATCTCCCCACAGCCAAACCCAAATTGTAGTGTTCCCGGTGGCTGTTCTTACTGAATAAATCTTGCTTAGCAACCTTCCACCAGAGTAAATAATAAATCACTCTCCAAAGCTCCAGGCATCCATCGGATTCTATCTGGGCAGTAAAACTCTGTGAATGTCTTGACAGCATTTTGTAAAATCATAATTGCTTAGGGAAAGTGATTCTGGATGTCTTAAAATAGACAGAATTAAAGTGAGGCTGTTCCTTTGAGGAAAATTATCCTAATGCGGTGTGCGTTATTCTTTTTATGAATCCTAGATTATAATTTACAGATCCCATCATTTCTGTGAAAAGTGTACAACCAATGCATCATGCCTAGGTTTTATAGTCAGTCTTGTGACCATCAGGGCAAAGGTGCTCAGCTATTTGTATAGTGAGCTGGAAGTGTTGTTTATTTATCAGAGTACTCTAGAGATCCCACCTCAAAAATATGGTACCTAGGTGTACAGAAAGAAGGCTGCATTGTCTCTCAGTCCGTATGTTAGGATCTTTTTTTTTTTTTTTTTT